AAGGAGGGATCTCTGTAACATAGCGAACCCTCCTTCCCTGGTAATGTCTCGCCCTAAAGTTCCCGCCATATCTGCCCCTCCCAGTTAGGACCGTAATGCTCCGGCCCACTCCTGTGTCCATAGGCCCCCCATCCTCCTCCCCATAAGCTGCCGAAGTCTCCAGCAGGCCCTTCGTATCATACATTCTAAGGATGGGGTTAAACCTAGGCACCCCTAACACTTCTGCAGAGCACTCAGTGTAGGAGGTACCCAGTTATAGTCCCAGCCTTCTCAGACGTATACAATCATACAATCAGGCAATCCCCACAACAATTTAAAAACACAAATACAGCAATATGAAGATAAAAGTGGGTACATTCATTCAACACAATCATACCACAAACACTCACCATACATTAAAATTCACAGAGCACTGCGGTAGTGCGCTATCAAACAATGGTGTCAAGATGAAGAGAGAGCTGCTCCGCTCTTCTCCCTTCCTCTATGTCCCAGAAAGATGTCCACGGCCACAAGACCAAAAGTCAATAGTGTACAGGACAATCGTACGTGGGGGAGGTTAAGGCATAGACGTCTGATGTTCACAGATAGCAACTGTTCAGTCTTACTGAATCATGGTATATGATTGGTTCCATTTTTAGGGCCTTAGTCAAAATGATCAGACTATACAACTGAAACATGAAAGAGAATCTATCTCCTTGACACTGAGATGTGAAGAGATATAGTATATATTCAGAATTCGCAGGATATTTGTTTTGGTGGTTATATACATATAAAATAATGGATTCTCTTTTAGTTCAATTTGTGAACTTTCTAATGTATTTTCATGTAATCTTTTTTCATCTTTCAAATTTCCGGTAAGACAACTTGTGTCTGAAAGTAATGAGGCTTTAACAGTACCTTGGGAATCTATATATACTGTACTCTAGATATATTAAAGAAATATTTCAAATCATTGAATTAATATGTATATGTTTTACATTAATTGCATCATAAGAATCATAGAGGTTTCTTTGTACTGAACATGTCATAAAATAGTTAAAATGATTCATTTAAGATAATTAAATATCTTATTTTTTTTCAAAACCCTCTTTAACTATTTTCAGATTTATTTTTTTTTCAAAACCCTCTTTAACTATTTTCAGATACAATTTATGCCATACCTGTTTAAAACCTGTGTGTGTACCTTTCAACATTATCATCACTAGCACCAAGAGGACCAAAGAGGATCTCACTGTGTGCTTTAAATAACTTGATCTAATATTCATAGTTATGTTAGATACATTGTTACCAATATAGCATAAAGAATGCAAATACCATATTTTTATCTCTGATAAAAAAATGTGTGCATTAATTTCAGGTTTTGTTTAAACACAAGGATTTTAGTTATCTGACTATTAACAAAGTACTCAATTGTATGATATGGTTTTATTTTACATTATACCATCATATATTATTATTATCAAATAACATTAGTCATATTATTTCACATACCAAAACTACACACATCAGTGTGTGGATGTCTGTGTATATTGTATGTATGTATGTATGTATGGATGGATGGATGGATGTGTGTGGATGTCTGTGTGTATTGTATGTATGTATGTATATACACACACAATATAGTTTCTTGTTTTTAGAATAATTATATTCTCCTGTTTTAAAGCACACCACATTTATTTGCTTTTTTTTGTAGAAAAAGGGACATAATATATTCTAATCTGTTACTGCCATAACAAAATTTAGTCTACAGAATAGAATTAATATGAATTGATATAGATAACATTGTGTTAAATTTATATGCTTAATTATTAATTTATAAGAATGTGTCAACTGCCAATTTGTTAGAAAGATAACTAGTATATTTTGTATTTCTGACTGTAAGTCTGATCTTTGATGAATAGAATATAAATACTCAAGTGTATCTAACTTCTGATATGATGACGTGTCTGTTAGAAGGAAATTCTTATAAAAAAGAATGCTACATTGTGATCATCATAATTATGAGTGATGTGATGCATTTAATTTACTTTCTATTTAGCAACTTTTAACATATTTCATAAATAAACCACAATCCAGACTTCGTAGGATATATCCGGTATATAGAAAAGACTGCTGCACTGTGCTTTGTACAGCGCTTATAATTTTTCTTATTTCTATTCTGTCTATATATATTCTTTCCAATTAATGTTGCCTGTCTGCCATCTTGGAAATGGAATGGATTTCTTTTGTTACATTCTTTTTTTTGGCACAGTAGACATTGGCACTCGGGTTTCTTACTAACCACTGCATTGAATGTTGTTTTGCTGCTTTTGAATAACCAGGAGTGCTAGAAGAATATGTATTTTTAGTTTTTCACTATTATATCTTCTGTTGCTAATCAAAACATATACAATGATACTACGATAAGGGCAAAGCAAAATGGAAAAGGAAAGAAAAATTGTAGAAAATTTTATAGAAATGTTGATCATAGATTATATTCAAGACAGATTTTCTACTTGCTGTTTAAATGTCTTTTCAGATGTTTATGGATATTGTCAATCATCCATGTCATGGTTGTTCAAGAAAGTCCAGCTGCCTTGTGAAAAACAGTTTTGTGTCTTTTCAGATGCTGTAATTTTAATTTTAAATTACTCATAGTAATGGCTGAGCCTAATCGGATAAGTATAGTAATTACTATACTAGTTGTATACCACCTGATCTGCTACTAGCATTCTTTGAATTTGAATATGCAGTATGAATGAATAGGACCCCTTAAAAAACAAGAGCTATGGAATGTAGAACCTAGAGCTGACCAATTGGCCTTATCCAATATCAGAAACAGTGTTCTTTCCCCAAGTAACTTCTTTATAGTAAACACTGAAATCTTTTGTCTTTATAGTAAATTATTATTATTATTATTATTATTATTATTATTATTATTATTATTATTATTATTATTATTATTATCATTATTATTATTATTATTATTATTATTATTAAAAATAAATATTTTAATGCTTTAAATAATGTTCTAAGCTCAGAAAATTCTTGTATTTGTAATAAATAACCGTAGTAATGCCTAACCATGCCTCTTTTTGGTACTTCATTGAATTGAACATAATGAACAGGGATTCATCATCTTCATCTCTCATGAAAATTGAAATATTTTCAACAATTTAATTTTCTGGATCAAATATAAGGTGACCAGACGTCCCGATTTTGGCGGGACAGTCACGATTTATAACAATTTGTCCCGTGTCCCGGGGTGTTTTAAAAATCCCAATTTTCTGGCTTCATGTTGAAAGCCCAGTGGATTTGCTTAAGAAATCCTAACCGGGGCAAGACAAAAGACACTCTGTCTAAACCCTCTCTCTGTCTCAGTACTTTCATTGAAGATATTAAAACATNCAATGATGTACAAAGGGAAAGAGATACAAACCCTGAAACAAATCCCGCGAAGAGTGCTATTTAGATGGTTGGTACCTGAAGGAATGCTGGTAACCTGGCAGGAAAAAAGGATTAAAGTTGACAATCTGGAGAAGGCACAGGATTTATATGAGCAACTAGTAGGCCTAGTTCAGATGGGAAGGTTACAAATAGTAATGACATGATTCCGGAACAATAATAATAATAATAAATACATGCCAGTTGCTAAGAGCCCCAATTTGATCACATGTCCATGGGGAAGCTGCAACAGTTGTAAATGTGAAAATCGGTCATAAGTCACTTTTTAGTGCTGTTTTAACTTTGAATGGGTCATTGGAACCTCAGTGGCACAGTGGTTAGAGTGCAGTACTGCAGACTACTTCTGACTGCCGGCTACCTGCAATTTGGCAGTTCAAATCCCACCAGGCTCAAGGTTGACTTAACCTTCCATCCTTCCGAGTGGATAAAATGAGGACCCAAATTGTTGGGGGAAATATGCTAACTCTGTAAAACTGCTTAGAGAGGTCTATACAGCATTGTTAAGCAGTATATAAGTCTAAGTGCTATTGCTATTACTATTAAATGAATAATTGTAAGTCAAGGACTGTCTTTATAGAGAAGTATTAATTGACTTTCTCTCCCAATCCATAACATTCTATATATGAGACTGGATAACTTGATTAACAGAAGATCAATCTAGAAGTAGCAAAGGAACCAAAAGGAGATTACTAAAGTTACAGAGAAATTGTAATAAAATCAGAAGTTTTGGAGAAAAGTAACTGTGCAATCATTAAACTTGTCTGACTGAACAGACTGGGAAGCTCCACAAGTAAAGTATCTTATGTTTATGGAACAGGGCAGTTTGCTGTTTTTTACTTACTTTCTCATCTTGTTCCCATAACCTTATAATTTGTTTTGCAAATGTTTCTAGGGAACCTTGGACGTGTTGACCATATTACTGAATTTGAATATGATCTTTTCATCAGACCAGACACATGTAATCCACGTTTTCGAGTCTGGTTCAACTTCTCAGTTGAAAATGTAAAAGAATCTCAGGTAAGCGCCATTTATGCTGAAGATTTAGGTGTATTATTGTTGAAGAAATAACAAATTATTTGTAAACTAGAGAAGTACTTTGCTGGTTTTTTAATATAACTGTCTTGTAGTATATTTGTTTAATCGGATTGTACATATTAAGTTGAGAAAGGGTTTTTGCTTCACATGATTGCCTGGGTTATTTGGGCAATCTAAAAAAATTATTGAAAGCCTAAAATATCACTATTATTAGCTTATTGTTCATACTTTGTTATAAAGCAGTTTCTAATCTTGATCCTTCTGTTTGCTTATCATTTATTACCTAGAAGGAAAAAATGCTTTTGTTGAATGTTTTCTTCATTACACTTCAAAAGGATTTGGTATATGTACTTTGCATATTCTTTTAATTAGTTTTTGCCTTTTAGCTGTTCATTTATATTGAAATATAATTTCCATGTTGGTTACCCCATAATTAACAAATATTCTTTTTTACACAAAGCGTGTGGAATATACTGAATCTTTCTTATCTTGCTTTATTGATTTAGGATTTTAAAATTTAGCAGCCGTATTTCATTGGAGCATCCAAACAATCATTTAGCTACAGATGTAACTCCTTGACTTACAACTATTCACTTAGTGACTGTTTGACTATTTTTTACAGACTATTGCAGCATCCCCATGGTCACATGATTGAAATTCAGATACTTGGCAACTGGTTCGTGTTTATGATGGTTGCAGTGTCCCCAGGTCACTTGATTATCTTTTGCAACTTTCTGATAAGCAAAGTCAATGGAGTTAGTTATATGTTACTAATTTAACAACTGCAGTGATTTACTTAAGAAGTGTGGCAAGAAAGGTTGAAAATCAGGCAAAACTCAATAAATGTCTCACTTAGCAACGGAAATTTTGGGCTCAATTTTCATTGTAGGTCTAAACTCTAAACAGTGTGTGTCCACATGTTTTCTTTATCTTTTTACACTATTTGATGTTAAGTTATCTTGATTTTTAAAAAAATAAGATATCAGGGTTCAAATGAGGGTCCTTGGTGCTCTCTCTCCCTCAAATATTAGAACACTGCTTTCATGTCACTCCTAATCCTTTTCACTAGACTAGACATACCCAATTCCTGCAACCGTTCCCATTTAAGTCTCCAGGCTTCTAATCATTTGTTGCATTTGAATATATTTTCCAAGGCCTTCTTAGCTACTCTATTGAGTGCTAGTTTGTGGCATATTTGCTGACTGCTTGTTCCTTTGCTGTTGATGGTTGATCTTCACCACTTTGATATCTTCATTATCAATTTAAGGTGGGTTTTCTACATATTGTTATTAGCTCGGTCTTCTTTATTTTTCATTATAGCCCCATCTAACAAATTAATTTAAAAGGCTGAATCATTCTGCTTACTGTCTATTGCCTTTTAAATACCTGATGTACCACATTTAAAAGTAATATAACACTATAATAACCTTCAGCAAACAGAATATTATTGGTAGTTAGGGGTAAACAAATACAAATGCAAGAAAAGTCTATACAACACTATTTTTACCCAAGTTTATAATAAATGTATAATTGTGACACATCTTCATGTACGCATATTGATGGGAATGTTAGAAACCACACTCCAAAGAAGTACAGAGCAAAGCAATAAAATAAACAAAAATAGGATCAAATAAATAAATATTAATTTAATTCATAGTGATTAAAGTGATTTGTTTTATAACAAGTATGCCAGTCTCTATTTCTATCTTACAGTACATGCAAGCCATTTTACATACTATATTTTATGATTATCCTATCAATGTTAGAAGGAAACAATCAAAACTATTGATGGTGGTTTGGTTTAGTGGTTTAGTGGTTTATTCGACTTGTATGCCGCCCTATTCCCAAAGGGACTCAGGGCGGCTGA